CATTGCGAAAGATAAACAGGAAAATTGACGTTTCGTTTAGGTTAAATCCAGTCTTTTATTTCTCTTATTTGCCTCCCTAATACTGTTTGATATGGGATTGTCTCGCAGTCCTAATTCGTCAAGACTATTGTTAGTTGTAAGTGCATTTGTTAGAGTACTAGCACCAGCATCTGAAATTATATTTTGGGGAAGACCAAGACACTTTAAAGTTTGATTTTTAAGTAACATTCCTGCTAAAGCTATGGCACCTTGATCACCAATTTGATTTTTATTAAGATAGAGATGGGTTAATGTTGTGTTCATCATTGGCATTAGTGCATTAGCGATAGAAATAACACCATCATCAGAAATTTGATTTTCGGTAATGCTCAACCATTTTAAACTTTTATTTACGTTCAACATAGAGCTCAAAGCTCGCGCTCCTTCATTACCAATTCCATTACCAGTAAGAAAAAGATTTACTAATGTATTGTTCAGTTTCAGTCCTTCAGCTATAAACTCAGCTCCTTTATCTCCAATTTGATTATGACCAACACAAAGTTCAATCCAAATATTGTTAACTCTTAAAAGATCACCAATTGTTTCAGCTCCGCTTTCTGAAAGATTATTATCCCTCAAATCTATTTCAAGAAAGGTTGAATTCCGGCTCAAAGTATTGGCAATCATTTTCAGTCCTTCATCTCCAAGTTTTTCCCAGGCAAAATTCAACTTTCTTTTAACTGGTACTGTTGCTAATGTTATTTCTTCTAATGCTTTCGTAACGATTTGATTAATATTTTTTTCATTAGAAAGGTTTAACCCTTCCATATGAATAGTTGTTGCAATGGGGTCTTTGATAATGCGGCGATTGATCGGTTCACTTACGAAAGACTCGGTTTCAGTTTCAACAATTTCAAACGGCGGTTGTATTAGAGGAACGGGCGGTTCGATTTGTCTAACATGAACAATATACAGTCCATTTCCTGCGTTATTTTTTCCGATTACTTCAAAGAAACTAGCAGGCATGAGAACAACCTCATCTTCAATTGAAAAATGTGAATGTGCTCTGATTATCTTACCCTCTTTACACTCAATGTTAAACAGTGTTCGTGTTCCTTTTTGTCCTAGAAATTTTTCCAGTTCTAACACATGCACTGATCTTGTACAGGAACTTACACCCCACCAAACGAATGTCTGACCAGTATTAAACTGTTCACTAATATCGGCTTTAATACCACGCCATACAACACTTTTAACGGATGGTAATGTATAAAGAGCAGTCAAAAATAATTTCAAGTACGAAAACCAAGGAATTAATTTTTCACGATCTTCCGATCTTAATGTTTGATTTAATTGATAATACAGGGATTGTTTGCTTGGTGTCCAGTCCATTGTATATAGAAAAATAGCAGCCGATTCATCCTGCGTCAATCCATCAACTGGATTTTGACAATTTTGTTTTGCTACGTAAACCCATGCTGGCAAATTTCGAAATAAATGTTCTATCGGTTTAACGGCTTTTTCTAATGTTAATAATTTAACTTTTTCATAGTTTTCAATAGGCGATAACAATCTTTTTGGTTCATCACCAACATCCAAATAACGTAGACTAGTCGTAGTTTTTGGATCATCAATGCATCTTCTTTCCATGTTCAAACAAAGTGAATAACTTCTGTTTTAGCTTGTATTTTAACGATGAAATCGTTTTATAAGTTGGTAAATTCCAACATGATTTAAAAAACAGAAAAGAAAAGAAGTACTCTTTTTTTCGTTCCATTTAACGACAACAATTTTCTCTTTCTCGTTTCCGCTGAGTCAACAAAATTCAGTCTTAATAAATTTCGCAATGAGCAACTTTTATGACGAACATATACGAATGCGTCACCATTTGTCCCTATAGCATTACGTTTACATGTATCAGGTATATACGAGTCTCATCGGGTGAGAGGGCTAGTAAAAGTTGGTTTTCTCTAAACTTTTGTGCTAAATCTTGGGCTTAAACGAGTTATGTGTACATTTAAAAATGGTATAGTGTTTCTCTCATCCACTGATTCGAACGTAAAAGTTAATGATGGATGGAAAGACGAAAGTAAAGCAGCTATACCATGTGCATCGACACGTTTATCCAAGAGAACAAAGGTGTCACCCACATAACGACGAGTAAATTTTACTTCATTGTGTAGTTTTTTCTTGAGCTGCTTAATGCACTAACTCCAATGATGAATACAACATTAACCCATCTCTATCTTAATAAAAATCAAATTGGTGATCAAGGTGCCATAGCTTTAGCAGGCTTAAAAATCAAACTTTAAAGTGTCTTGGTCTTCCCCAAAATAAAATTTCAGATGCTGGTGCTAGTACTCTAACAAATGCACTTACAACTAACAATAGTCTTGAAGAATTAGGACTGCGAGACAATCCCATATCAAACAGTATTAGGGAGGCAAATAAGAGAAATAAAAGACTGGATTTAACCTAAACGAAACGTCAATTTTCCTGTTTATCTTTCGCAATGTTAAATTTCTCTTTTTATATTGATTCATTATTCTTAATTTTTCTTGAATTCTAAATAAAGTTGTATATACCCAAGCAAAAAAAATGGAGCTAGAATCGGGCGGTTGGAGCTAGATAACACGGTTTTCGACCCGGTTAAGCTAGATCCACCTTAAAAAGTTTAACCTAGGATCGGGCGGTTCAACCTACTTTTGGGCGGTTGGGGAGGTTATAAGCTAGGTTAACCGCCCACTTAACCGATCGATCGAGCTAGTTCCATCTGATCTAGCTCCAATTGCCCACTTAACCGACCGATTAACCTAGTTTCTGGTATCAAATAGATTAAACACAGGGAGGTTATCAGCTAGGTTAACCGAGCACTTAAACG